AGCAACCATGTAATGCACAGAAAAGGAAAAAGGTAAAGAGTGTAAGCAAAGAAAAAATTGTTTTTGTTCACAGAGTATAAGCAGAAAATTAAAGAGAACCAACAACAATAACAAAAACACCTAGAACCAATGAGTGATTAAAGCAAGTCTGCAGGAAACAAAACTAACATACAAAAGTCATTTACTTTTCTATATGTCAACAATGAACAACTAGAATTTAAAATTAGAAATCTAGTACCATTTACTATAGCACACTTCCTCCAAAATAAAAAAAAAAAAAACAAAACTTAGTTACAAATCTAACAAAAAGCATATAAGCGCTGTATGAGGAAAGTTATGAAACTTGGATGAACAAAGTCATAGGACTACATAAATGCAGAAATTTTCATATTCAGGAATAGGAAGACAAAAGAGTCAGGATGCCAGTTTTTCCCAACTTGATCTACAGATTTAAAGTAATTACAATCAAAATCCTAGCAAGCTTGTTTTATGGACCTTGACAAACTGATTTGAATGTCTGCATGGAGAGGTAAAGGACCCAGAAGACAGTTTTGAGGCAGAACATTCTAGCTGACTTAAAAACTTACATAAAGCAACAGTAGGGATGACAGAAGACAGTATTGGTAGAATTATAGATGAATGGAACAGAACAGAAAATGCTGAAATAGACCACAAATTTAGTCTACTGGTAATAGTATGGAGCAAAGATATCTTTTCCACAAAGACTATAGTACTGGAACAAGCAGGCATCTCCAGGTTAAACAGTGAACATAGACCTTTCCACCCCTCAAAAAAATGAACTCAAAAAGATCATAGATCTACATGTAAGACATAAAACCATTAAACTTCTAGAAGATAACAAAGGAGAACACCTAGATGTCATTGGGTATGACATGATGTTTTAGATAAAATAACAAAGGAGCAATCTACGAAATAGTTGGAAGTTGAATGTCATCTAAATTGAAGACATTTGTTCCACAAAAACAAGGTGAACACTAAGATAAGATAAGCCCCAGACTGGGAGAAAATGTTTGCAAAAAATACATCTGCAATGGATGGTTACCCAATATATACAGTGCTCGCAAAACTCAACAAGAAGAAAACAACCTGACACCCAACCAAAGAAGACAGACAGATGGAAAATAAGCACATGGAGAGACATTACACATCACAGGTCATCAGGTAAGATGAAGTTCTAAACCAGAGACACTACTGCACCACCCTTAGAACAGCCAGTATCAGGAGTACTGACAACACCAAATGCCGGTGAGAGTGTGGAGCTACAGGAATTCACTCTACTGGTGGAAGTGCAAAATGATAGACTCACTTTGGAAGAGAGTTGGACAACTTATTGTAAAATCAAACATATTTTTACCATATAATGCAAAAATCACCCTCCTTGTGATTTACCAAAGGAGTCTAAACTTACATTCCCACAATGGCCTGCACACAGATGTGTATCTCAACTTTATTCACAATTGCTAACACTTAAAAGCAGCACACACATCCCTCATTGGATGAGTGGATAAATAAACCGTGGTCCATCCAAATAATGGAATATCATTCACTGATAAATGACCTATGAGGACATGAAAAGACACAGAGGACGCAAAGCTAAAGAACAATCTGAAAAGGCTGCACACTGTATGATCCGACTCCGTTACACTCTGGAGAAGGCAAAGCTCTGGAGACAACAAGAAGTTAGGGGTTGCCTGGAGCAGAGCAGGGCACCCAGAAATTTTAGGCAGTGAAAATACTCTGTATGATATTAAAAGGATGGGTGTGCTGTTACACACTTGCGTAAACTCACAGACTGCATTACACCAAAAGTGAACCGTAAAGCAAACTTTACTTCAGTTGATTATGATGTGTTAACACAGGTTGATTTTTTGGTTAAAAAAAAAAAAATACTTGGATGAGTGTTGTCGCTATGAAGGAGGCCTTGCTGGATGGGGATAGGAGATATATGCAAGGTATATGTACTTTCTCATAATTTTGTTGTACATCTAAAAATACTCTAAAATAAAGTTTTACCTTGCATTAGTATGATACAGGGCGCACAGAAAAAATATTTAAATTATTTAGACGCTACCATTCACATCCAGTTTTAATCTATTATGTAGTTAACTGTGTCTAATTTCAGTTAATGTTGTTTGATAGATACAGGTATAAAAATAAAGTATAAAAAACCAAACTTTTATTTTCAAATCTGCAATTTATAATGACTTTTGATTTATTGCCAGGAAGATATATTAGGCCAACATCAAAACCAAAGGAATACATTTCAACTTAACCTCACAAGTCAGTAGACCGTTAACAGAGGACACACTGATATTATGAACAGTGACTGAGAAAGTGAATGCTGAGGTCAGACCTGTTTTCTGGACTCTTCTAGAGCTTTAAGTTTTGCGATCTTCTTTCATACAGAAAACACAAATAAGCAAGTGAGAAATGTTCAAACTTGCTAAAAGTAATAAAATACCACAAACATTAATGACAAATTAATTTCCTTTAGCAAATGAGAAAAAACTGAAAACGTGAGCCCAAAGCTGGAAAAGATGCAAGGGTCCTCTCTGACCCAAGCAGTCACAGTCTAACTGGGGTGATCATTCTGGAAGGAGATGTGGCAAATGCATCAAGAACCTTAACCATGTCTGTTGCCATTGACCTTGAGTCTCCATTTCTAAGATTGTGCTTTTAGAGGGAATGGTTGCATGCTTTCAATACATATTTTTAAATGATTAATGACTGAAATCACCAGCTATAGGAACGTGAGGTATGTAGAGCAACGCCACATGATGGACTCTTTTTTTTTTTTTTTAAAGAGGCATGTATTTTTATTTATTTGTTTGTTTGTACATGCACTGGGTACAGTCAGAAGCGCGGGAGGGTGAGAGAATTCACCAGAGCCAGAGCGGGGAGCAGAGCAGGCAGAAGGACCGAAGGACACTGCTGAGGGGAGCAGCGGGCGGCAGGAGGGGTCTGCGCGCCATGTGGGACCCTCCTCCGGTGGCCGGGGAGCAGCCGGGGATCGAACCGGCGCGCAGAGTCCGCGGGCAGCTTCGCAACCCAGCGCTCAACCGCTGCGCCACCGGGGAGGCCCCATGATGGACTCTTAAGCACTTACTTTTAAATGAGTTTTCCGGGAATACTAAGTGGCAGGGACAATTTATTATTATGCCATGTTAAATGAAAAAATCCAGATACAAAGCTATGTCTCCCCTATGACTACACACAGTGTGAGCACGTGTGTGAGCGTGAGCACACACATGTACACACACACACAAACACCACCTACACCTGCAAATCCTAGGCATATTCAAGACACTGGAGAGAATTAAAACAAAATCTTACTAGCCGGGAAGGTGAAAATTCCTAACATTTTTGTAGTTTATTGTGAAGTAATTATTTATAAAGTAAAAAATAAAGCATGAGCAGGAACAATATCCAGAAAGGCCATCAAAGTGTAAGGTAGAATACTGGGGTGTCCTGTGTGGGCTTTTTCATCATCCCAGTGCATAAATCCAACAACACGAGACAGAGCACCCTCCTCCAATGCCTTAGAGAGAAGAGACCTGGTCACTCCAGCGACTGATGACACTCACCCAGTTAAACAGAACCAGATACAGTAGCTTCTATTTAAAGCCCCCCCCCACACACACAAAAAAGTAAGTAATAGGGCAATTTTTTTACTGCAACAGACAAAATTATTTTTCCAGTAATTATCTCCCTTTGCATTTGGGAAGTGGTTCATTTCCTGCAAAGGATGTTGTGAGTTAGTAACATAAAGGTGACAGCTTCCCAGTGGGGGCCGCGCAGGGAGGCGCCCACCCTAAGAGCAGGCGCTGTTCTCACATATGTCAATGCCACCTTTACCACATTTAACGGAAGGGAGGTTGTTCTCTACTCACTGGCCGGCTGCGTTCTGACTTGTGGAAAAGTGTTTTGACTTTCTTTTTTGAAAAACTGAGAAGTGATTTAAGTCACCTTTTGCTTTCAGAGCCCTGGAGCCCTCACTGTTAGCATTTTTCAGCCCTTTTCCTAAAATCAGCTGTTCCTCCTGCAGGTGGAAACCCCGCCACAGTGGTCACTCCCCGGCCCAGGGAGGCAGGCGCTGCAGCTTGGGCCCCAGGCGGAGCTGCCTGCCCCACGGGGGCCAGACCAGCACCCACAGGCACCACCTTCCTTCCCTTCTTGGAAACAAGTTTGTTCAGATAGATGTTGTTTGGGTTTTAGACGCCTATGGATCAATTAATTATTTCAGTTAATTAAAGAACAGAAGCTCCGTGTCAGTAGTAGCTATTTCTGCTAATCAAGGACCCACAGAGTTTAAAGTAACTTTAAAGGCCACGCGGTGGGTCCCAAAGGCCTCGGAGAGACCACCAGGGTGCAGAGCGGCCTCTGCTTCAACGGCTGGAACAAGATTCTTTGAACCTACTCACTAATTCACTTTGCTGTTTCACTTCAAAATACCAGGGCGAAGACCCGTCTACCACAATGTGAGCTCCTGGTCGACCTCAAAGAACCCAGGATAGTTTCTCATTTGAATAGTGTGGCCTAAGGAGCAGACTCCAGCTGTCTACTCTGCAGATGCAACAGGCCCTTGTTGTCTACTTCTATCCTTGGCTCAAATTATAACTCACGTCTGGTGGATCACCCTTTCATGGTATTCAGTGAGATCACCAGGCCCAACATGCTTTTTATTTTTTTTGGGGGGGGGGCATGAATCTAAATGCATACTGAGGGGTGGGTGGAAAAGTGAAGTGGACAGAAAAGAAGCTTTAAATACAGAACGTCATGGCGTCCATACACCGTTATGTGTTACCTCTAGGTTCAGCTCAGAAGTCCCTGACATCAAGCCAACCCGCATGCTGGCGTCGGCTACCACGGCGAGGACTGGCCATTTTAAATCATTTCATCACCTCGAAGCATGGGCTGTCAAACCCGGCGCACAGCACCCCAGCCCCCCGACACCGGCACCCCGCGCCCTGCGGGCCCACCTGACGTCGGTGCAGGCGATGCAGGCGATGCCGCGGCTGTTGGTCGTGATCAGGTTCAGAGCCACCGACGTGTCCCTGTCCGAGGTCGGGTGCGCGCCGCACTTGAAGAAGAACTCCTGCGGAGACAAGAGCCCGGTCACCGTGCGCCTCGGCCACCTGCCCTGCTGGACATGCCGCGGCGGGTCCTCCCCAGGTGAGCCCCGGGTCAGCACCAGCCTTGGGGGCAAATGGGGTGCGCGCCGGGCGAGCAAGCCCCCAAAAAAGGGAGCCCCTGGGCACGCAGTGACCCGCCGGCGGCCGGGAGCCTGAGGTGCAGCCAGGACCAGCCCGGCTTCCTGGGGCGCAAACACCTGCCTGACCACGGCTGGACCCCACTGTCAGGCCCAGGTGCGGGCAGGAGCTGGGGCCTCTGTCCACCCCGTGGGGCTGCAGCCCAGACCCCACCGCAGCCACACACGCCCAGCCCAGCCCAGCTCAGCCCAGCCCGACAGGGGCCTATGCCGTCCTGGCCCATCTTCAGCAGCCCAGAGCTCCTGGGAGACCCTGCTGTCCACCCGCCTCAGGCAGCTGGAATGTTCCAGAACAGAACATCTCACACACCGCGGGGTATTTGGCCAGTAACTGCTTCCTGCCAGTCTCCCGCCTTCCCCAGCAACCTTGGCCAGGCCACCTTTCCTGCGATGGCGCAGCTCAGTGCAGATGTTGCAGGGCAACCCGATGTAACACGGGCTGCCTGACTGTGGGTCCTCACCTGGGCGCTCAAAAGGACCTTACCCTGCAGGTGCACGCAAAAGGTTAGCAAAAGGTGTATTTACAAGGGAAGGAGAACAAGGAAATGTACAACTCAGGGGCAAAAAGAGGGAGGTAAATTCTTAAAATGCATCCTACCTGTTGGCAGACCTGGACTCCCAAATGACCCCCCCCCCAAACCTGCCTGGCCAAGAGCAGGAGCCAAGACAGTCAGACCCCATCACATGGCTGGTTATTAACCCCAGCGCCAGAAAATGGCTGCTTAACTCTGCCCTCAGGTCCTCGCAGCCTTCCTCTGGGGATCCTGGGATTTGTAGTTCCCAGTGTCTGGATGGAGTAGGGGTGGCATCCACAAAACCTGTATGGAATTTGCTCAGGACATCCTGTCCCCCTAACACAGAGATGTCCCTGGTGGAAGACACTGTGGCCACCTCCACCGATGCCACAGCCAGACCCAGGCAGAACAGGACGCAGGCCCTGCAGGACACATGGACAGCCCTCTCCCCGCAGGACACACGGATCCCCCCTTCTGCAGGACACATGGACAGCCCTCTCCCCACAAGACACACGGATCCCCCCTTCTGCAGGACACACGGACAGCCTCCCCTTATCCCACCCCATTCCCAGCGCAAAGGGACAGGAAGACAAGAACCACATTTGCGGTGAAACCTGGGGGTGCAGCCCATGACGGGGAGGGGCGCCTGCCAGAGCTGACTCTGCAAGTGCCCCTCAGGACTCCTGAGACCTAGTGCTGCCCTGGATAAGGGGGCGACCAGGGACTAGAGGTGTAGGGGTACAGAGGATTACCGGCTTGAGTCTGAAGTTCTCAACCTCCAACAGCGGAGGCTGAGCAGGGAGGGGCGGGATGGGTGGGGACGGGGTGTGGGCGGCGGAGCACCTGGGTCTCCGCACAGTCTAGGCACCCCTGGGAGCCCAGGCTGGGATATTCTAAACAACCTGTCACCCCACATCTTGGGGCTAAAACCAACAGGACAAGCGAACACGTGTATGAGCCGGAGTTGAAGAACCTGTTAATGACAAGGCAAGCCTCCAGGATAAGGGTCCGCCTGGCTCAGCAAGGAACAGCTGCATCGCCCTGTCACCTCCAATCCGTGCCAGTGCTGCACCCAGCGTGACCCCTAAACCATAATAACATGCAGGGGTGTTACAGGGCAGGGAGGGGGGCACCCCAGAACTCCCAAACCTGCCTGCTCTAAAATGAGTTCTGCCATCCACCACATCAAGACAAATATATGGCCCTTTAATGGAAAGGGACTTGAAGACAATTAGTGAGCAATACAGACAAGACAGAATATAGTTTCCAAATCAAACACCCACGGTTACCCGTCCCCCCGTGGGTAAAAGTTCACCCAAATGGGATTGGCCCAGAGCAAGGCCTGAAACCTGCCACAGTCTAAAGTACCTTCTGGAGGAGAACCACAGAAAAGGGTCAGAAATATGCAGACAAGTCTGGGAGGAAAAGAGCAAAATCAAAATTAAGATCAACGCTGCCACTGTCACCTTCCCACGGACCTCTCGCCCACGGCTGGTCCAGGACCAAGAAGCAAGTGCAGTTTCTTCACGTGTCTCTGCTCCATGGCCTCCTTCAGGGCTCCTTCTGGCTCTGCATCCTGCTTCCTTCCTCCTCCAGCCTCCTCTGCAGCTTCCCTTCCTCCCTGCTCAGCTGGAACCTCCCCTTTTCCTGGGGACAACCCCGTCACAGGAGGAGAAGAGAGTGACAAAATGGGCCACGAGGACGTGCTGAGATGGGACTGTCCACGGTCACCCAGAGCCCATCCCTCACGAAGCGCAGCAAACCCGCAAAAACCACACCCACAGCTGTGACACGTAAGATGACAGAAAGGAACCTAAACAAAACACACAAGGAAGACTCCGACAAAGAAGATAAGACAACCCCAAAAACCTAATAAACAAAAAAACAACAAAATGGCAAATAACCACTGAGGTGCCCGTGGCGGGGTCACAGAAGAATCTGCACACCACACGCATTACTTGGCCCAGGAAAAGTATTCTCCCTTCACCCTGGACTTGTTATCCACAAACTTCTATAAAAACTCTAGCTCTGAAAGGTTTGGCTAATTCAAGGAGCCACTTACAAGCATTTATAAGCGTTACTCACAAGAGCTGAGAGTTGGCAACGACCTCAGCATCCCTCTCTGAATGACTGGCGAGCGCGCCATCCTTCCCCCGGGGAATACGACTCAGCTACAGGCAAGACAAGACGAGGCCCTGCCGTTCGCAACCCCATGGATGGAGTTGGAGGGGATTATGCTCAGTGACATACGTCGGAAGACGAAAGACAGAGGTTGGACGATTTCATTTGCATGAAGGAAACAAACCAGCAAAGGGACACACAAAACTAAACACAATTTGACTGTAAGAACAAAATAATGGTTGCGAAGGACGGGAGAAGCGCGTGGGCGATCAGGTAAAAGGGCCAATTCTAGGATGCAGGATGGAAGCCAGACTCTTGGGGCGAAGCTGCTGCGGGAGATACGTGGGTTGCTTTTCAGTTCTTACACCCTGTTCTAAGTCACCTCTACTTCCCCACACTTTTGTTGTCGTGTTTTCTTTTTGCAGGACATAGGTTTTCTCCCACTTTTTAAACTCTGCACTGGCGGCTGGATGCAGTCAAGGGCGATACACACAGGACCGTGGCCATGTCCTCGTAAAGCTTGATGGATGCAAACATATGGCCGACGGATGTTGCCAACTCACCACAGATTGTCCACCCCTGCTGGAGATGCTGGGACGTTTGTGGGTCGTCGTATTTGTACCCGTGTCCTAATAGTACTTGGCATAGGCCGGGCATTAGGTATATTTTCTTAAGTAAAACCCCGACGGGCTGGCTAATAAACGCTGCTGGCTCCTTTCACACGCGTGACAGCGCTGCCCTTCATTTGTTCTTTCCTTCCTTGGCAGCTACCCCGCGCCCGGCCGGAGGCAGTGGGCAGCACCTGTGGGTCTCCAACCCCAGGGAGCACAGGAATCACCTGCTGGCAGCAGAGGGGCGGGAGACGCTGTGGGCCGCACCCCAGATCTTCACTTCAGCGGTCCGAGGCAGAGCGAAGACTTGGCGTTTCTGCCACGCTGCCAGGTGGGGGTGCTGGCAGCTGTAGACTGTTTATCACCTCTGCAAGCCATGCCCTGCGCCAGGTAAAGTGCGCCCCTTCCCACCTTCTGGAGTGGGATTGTCCCAAAGTCAGTCCCAGGCTCTTACCTGCGCGCTTCTTGCCAGCCCAGTGGGCCGGGGTGGACTGCCAGTCAGCCTGTGGGCTCCGCAGGGGCAGGTGCTGCGTGGCGGAGGCCTGCAGTCTGCAGGGGGTGTGCCAGCAGCCTCGAGTAACAGAGGGGTGGTTCTTAGGGCGCTGCTTAGGGGTGCCTATGCCAGGCTGCCCAGCAGGCCGGGCCCCTCCCTACAGCAGCACAGAGGTCACACTTGAATGGTTTCTCATCTTTTTCCACCTGGAACGCCACCTTTTCCACTCAATCTTTTAAGCACTACAAATCCTTGAAAGGCCAGTGCAAGGGGATTGGAGAAAAAATTTAAAGCAATTCCTGCCAAAACAAAAAGTTTAGAGGACGTGGCTGGCCCTGATGAAATACACTGAGCGAGCCGGGCCTGCTTTTTGCAGACATGAAAAAAATCCTCACTCATAACACAAAGTAATTCCCCCAAAAGAGCTGAGCTGGCTGGACCACTGAGAAGCATTTCATATACAGATAAATAGATCACACTTGTATTTTTTCTTAGCTTGCAGAAAACTCGTGGTAGATATTCCGCTAACAAATCACAAACTGCTTTAACACCAGATAAAATGCAGCTAGATAAAAACCCAAATCCTTTTGGGGGGGGGGAGTGTTTACAGACAGACGTATGAGAACTTACTGCTGTTTTGAAACAATCCAGTAATTCACATGCTATGATATCACTAAAATACAAACGACCAGTTGTACATTAGTGTGTGTGTCTCGAGAGAGAATTTCAGTGCTGCTTCCACCAATTTTTATGAAAGGAGGTACCGGAATGATTGGCGGGTGGCAGAGGGTCTGCGATGTCCCCAGCTTGCACGCTGACAGCTGAGTCTGCTGCAGTGTCGTGGGCGCTGGGCTGGCAGGAGACACAAGACTCCTGGGTCGCAAAGGCCTGCCTGATTTGGGGCCCAGGCAGAAAGAAGTATGGATGTCATGAGGACGTCATTTCCCTGCACCCCAGAAAGCAGCAGAGGGGCAGGTGAGCTAGAAGCTGAATGTACAGAGCTCCTGCATCCTGGCTGAGGACCCCAAGTGTGGGGAGCCCAGACCTTTCACAAAGGAGCCGTGAGCAAGCCTTTGTCGTGAGGGA